CAATTAAGAGTTACTCATGATGAAGACAGAGCTCGTCTCTTATTTGTTTCTCTCTTATTTAACTTTGCTAGTGTCTGGTGGGTCATTGCTTGTGAAAATCACAACTTTATCTAAGATTTATAGGTACTCCTCAGTTCATTACATGTCCTAGTTCAGTGTGTCTCTCTCGACCAGTTACTTATGAGTGTAACAGTGGAGTAAATACTCTTATATGGAGAGTGCTAGATACTAATGGTGTTAGTGTTGGTACTGAGTCTTATACTGATTTTGAAGATGATGTTGGTGCTACTGTTTCTATTGGTAGTCAGTTTGATACTGTCTTGACTGTTGATGGATCTTCTCTTGTTTCTAATATAACATTCACTCCTATGTTAAATATCAGTAATTATATTGTCCAATGTGCAGATCCTACTGGGACTTTAATGAACTGTTCTATAGTAATAGCAGGTACACTCATATGTCATGCTATCATGAATAAAAATTACCAAATTTAGATATTCCAATTGCTGTTATGCCTGATAGTTTCAACTATAGAATACCTCCCTCTGAATATGTTCAAGTTAACTGGCTACTGCTAAGTCCCAATCCTTGTATCTCTCACTACATTGTTATTAGGACTAGTTCAACTGATAGTGTTAATTTTACCACCACTACTAATGAGGGGCTTCTGAGATTACCATTACCTTCACTTAATGACACACTATATACTTTTGGTGTATTAGCTGTTGATACTGGTGGTAGATCTCTTCATACTCCATTTAATAATGTTACATTTATACCTAATGGTAAGTAATTGATTCTAGTAGATAATAAATACTATATCTTATTATTTTTAGTTCCTGGATTTGTTACTGATCTGACATTAACACAAACTGATTATCCAACTGATATTAATGATACTGTTAACATCACTGTATCATGGAATCCAGTAATTGATTGTATTGTTATAATAATTTATTACTATTATTACTGTTATAGCCACCACAATTATCACAAGAACCTTTGCTAGTTCGATATTTTGTTCATTATAATGTTTCTGATGTACCTCAAAATATTACTGTACCACATTACCATGGTGCTACTCCAACTACAAGGCCTTATTTGAGGACTCTATCTGGTTTTACAGTAGGATCAGAATATACTGTTGGAGTAGCTGCTGTTAATAATATAGGAACTGGTTCTATTACGTCAACTACAATAAGTTAGTTATTATTTTACTGTAAATATAAGTATATATAATATGTACTTTAGCTATACTTGCTACACCACCACCACCTGAAATACCTTCAACTAGTACAGTTGATTTCACTTCTTCTTTTACTTCAGGCATTAGTGCAACTCCTACTATGACTCCATCAAGCAGCATGACTCCTCCTACTCAAGAACCATCACGACGTATGTACATGTAACTGTTCTCAATATTAATTATTGATTATTAATAGTTAGTGCTGGTGCTATTGCTGGTATAGTAATTGCCATCATTGGACTGATAGTTTTGGTTATATGTGGTGATTGCTATTGTATGTTATGTTAACAAGAAAAACAAAGACAAAGATTCTTCTGTTACTCCTAGTCCTCCTCAAACATTTGAAGTAAATTTACACACACACACACACGCACACATAGCTGCTTAAACACTATCTATTATTTGTAAAGGGCCTGTACCTTATTGTCAATATTTGTCACACATAGAAAATGTACATCAACATGTGTCCTTCATGTGTATTCATTGGTCACCAGTTAATGTGGTTACATGTCCATGAACATGAGCATGATGTGTATGCATGTACATATATGTCCATGAATTGTACATTATGTATCAGTTATATGTTCATGGTGTATATAAGTGTCATATGTTCATTATGGAGTGTACATATATGCCCACTGATGTACATATTTACATATGTATGTGTATGTGTACCTTATACAGTGTAGGCTCATTCTGTGAGTGTTTGCCCTTAGCATCAGCTACTATAGTGTGGCCCTGTTTCCTGATAGTAGCTATAACCCAATGCCTATATATGGTAGTGCTGTTTCCACTACACTTCATTCTGTACACACACAGTAACATCACATGATTAGTGAAGGTCAATTTTTTAATACCTCCCCCTCATAATGTAACAGTATAGAGAGTCAATATAAGTATTGGGTGTGCATGTACATGTATGTAATGTGTTAATATCAAGAGTACATAATATATAAAGAGAGTATCCAACAGCCCTATAGAAGACTGCTGCATGAGGGCGTATTTGCTCAAAGTCACAATCCGCATACTCCAGTATACTTATAATATCACGTGATCCACCATGTGGCAACATTATCTGGCCCTTAGCTTTTAAAAACTTGGCAATCTCTTCCAATACAAGAAAGGAGCTTG